CTCTATCCTCTTTTTCTCTTGTCCTGTCTCGTTGTTTTCCTGTCTAACCCCTCTCCATCCGCCAGATGAACTTTGTGCTCTCCACAACATCTGAGTCATTTTCTGCAGATCCAGCCATTGCAATATTACCCAGCCAGCAGAAAAAGGCATTATCAAACATGATTGAAGATGTTTTTATTCTGCAGGTCTTCTCGGACTCATGGGGGAAATCTAGCAAATTCCTGTCTCCTCTTGACACGGTCTGTTCAGCATCACTGAAAAGTAATGAAGCGTATTACCTCTCTTTGTGCCCACAGCTATTTGGAAACAGTTGATCACTGCCCTGAATGTTAGAATAAATTAAGTATCCAAACTATATATAATTTAGGACAAATAGAGGTGAACGTAACTTTTGCCAGTTACAAAAGCTGAAGAATGTTAATTTGGGCAACAGGGTGGTGATGATGGCTGGAGCTGAAGTTGATTGAGCCAGTAGCAACATCGCAGCTGAGGAGCTGTCAATTAAGCAAACCCAACTTCAAATACACTCCTCTGTAAGCTAAGCGCTCCATTTTTAGGACCTAGCCTGGATCATTTTTGTATCTTTTAGTCTCTACATTATTGCATTATTGCAATATACTCCATGAACATGAAGACATAACACTTTTGCTGAAAGAATCTAGCTAAATGCCGTGATACTTGATTAACACACAAACTATTTCATGATGTAGCATCTCCCCCACTTAGACCTTCATTACTCAGAAAAATGCTGAGGACAGATAACCAGATAAGAGGTGACATCATCCTCCCACTACATGCTTTGTCATCTTCCTGATCATGTTTGTCAGATTACTGTACAATCTTTGTCCTTTTAATATCACATTATACACTGTTATGTAGTAATTGCTGTTTTAATTAGCTCCACTATATTTTCCATGTCTCGCTCTGCACCACTTATCTGACCACAATTTTTCTTTTTTGGTTTTAAATCCTTTGCTTGCTCGTGTTTATGTTTTGTCTGCCTTTGATTTTAAATTGCTTATAATGTTGTTTTTAATGGCTAATTAATTCAAAATCAAGTCGAAACATTTGCCATTTGGAAGCAGAGCAATAGTAGTAATGCTGAGGTGCTGAAAGTGAAGTTGAATAAAATATGTGAACTACTAATTGATTAAATCAGTTGTTTACTCTTGCTTTGGTTGAATGGTGGTGTCGGTGCTTTTAGACTGTTGTGACGTGTTTGCCAGCGGCGTTGGCTGAAGCACACCGAAGCAGGTCGGAGAGAAACAGTTGAAGTTTTCATCGAATCCTCCACATGTTTCCTCTGGCAGACGAGTTCACAATAGAGCCAACAGATTTTTCACATTATCTCATTCCTATTCAGCCGAATTTACTGTAATCTCACCGATAAGGCTGTTCATCTTCCCTTTGCTCTTTTCTTCCTTTTCTTTTGTTTCTTCTTCTCTCAGCCCTCCAATGGCGTACGGCCAGACACATGCTCTACATCTTTCTCCGAGAATCTGTCCAATCGAGAAAACACTGTCGCACGGCTCTGACAATTTGCTATGACATAACTTCAAACTGCTGTTGGGCTTGATCACTTTGTCGGCAAATTGAAACGCCCTTCACCTCCCGAATCCTTTATTTTTTGTGTCTAAACCCCAAACTGCTGAACTTTAAAGCTCAACTCAGACCATTAAAATTAGATCAAAAGATTGAGGTTAAAAAAGGGTACCGCATAAAATGGTTTCATCAAGAATCACAGAATTAAATGGGCCACTTCCTTTCCCAATGCTGTTTGGACAGGTGAGTGAAACTGCAAGCTAGGCCTCGGTCCCACGACTGCAGCCACCTCAGACAATTGAGCTATTCCAAGGCAAACAAGAGCCACTGTGGTTCAGGATTAAAGATAAGCAGCTGAAAACCAACGGTGGGAGTCCTCAGATTCACCCTGATGTTAAATAAATACTCAAAAATGATCCCCCACACCTCTACATGACTATTAGCTGCAGGAAAGTTTCCCCTAGACTTTATATTCTGTTTACCCCCTCCTCCGTTGCTGTAATGGAACAATTTACAAAAGAAATTGGCTGCTGCCGTTCCTTCAGGTCAGAGGCCGTCTGTGCATGTGTGTGTGCGATCCTCGTGTGACTATTTCTGTTTGCGCTGCACATTTTGTTGAACATCCAAGCTAAACACCTCTCCTCCTCCACCTCAAACTTTTTATATTTTGGGAGGGTTTTCTTTAGCTTGTAAGGTCTTGTCCTCTTCCTTTGCTCAGTCAGCCTCAGAGGAATGTAAACCCTTGATGTGGGGAAACAAGTCATTCATCAGATCAACAGTAACACTGAGAAAATGCTTAGGTAGGATGTTTAGTTGACCAGCATTCGTATCTGCTCAGACTAAACGAGTGAAAACACTGAAACTTACATAACATGTATGTGTTATTATGGATGCTTTTGTTGTATTTGGAGTAAGGGTCTAGATATAAACAGTATGGGTGGCTCAAGGGAGCCCAAACCCAAACTTTTAGCTTTGGCAGAGGTGCAATGCTCTACTATAAGGAGTAGTTATTACTCAGAAAGTTGCTTCCCTTTGTAGCAGCTCGCCTTCTTCTGAGCAATCAATCTGTTTGTTTCCCTTTGATTTAAAGTCGATGAAGTTTGAGTGCGAGTTGGCTCCCATTTCGTCTATGACGGCTACCGTTGTGCTCATTCTCCTTAAAATTCTTGTAGCTGCAGAGTTTTTGTTTGTTATTAGTTTTAATGGCAAAAAAGTTCAGCATCTGCAAAAGTAATCGCTGAACAGCAGTCAAAAGCTTTATTGTTGCCTCTTTAAACTTCAAAATTGGGGACTGCGATAATACAAACACACAGTACTCTTAATATGATTGTCAAGTCTACCAAACAGAGCATTTACTGTACTGTACTAAAATTCTGTTTGGCAGGATAAAGAGCTTTGAATGACTGAGCCATGATGGGAAAGTCCCTGGTATTCCCTGGCTATGTCTACCCCCCAGCCTGGTAAAATAATTACCCCTCTGCTGCTGAGCAATAACAAAAAAACACCATAGGGTATAACCTCAGAGACAATTGCAGGCAAATAACATAAGTCACAATTCATTTCCATTGTAAGTTTTGACCATGGAGCTACTGTTTTTCAAGACTACGGCTCTGTTGGTTCTTGTATGTTTAAATATCCAAATAATCAAAATACAGAAAATAAACTATTGATGGTAATGTAATTTATAGAACAAATGTTTTTATGCCTTCTTACCGAAGCATTCAAAGCCCATAAGAAAGAGATGGTTCCTTCTGTTTATTATGTCTAAACTTGACCCTCAAACAGATTTCTGAGTGTGGTGGGAACTAATACAGTATTAGAGTGAGTGTTTAGTCTGGTTCCCATCTACTCCCATACACACTGCTTCAAACTGACGATTCCAAGGCCTATTATTTATATTTACTTCCTGGGATGAACTCCTTTCTTAATTTCTGGATATATAAAACCTTAACTGTTAAACTGATGTACTCTTACTGTCATTATTTACTCTGCTAATTACATTAAAATGCCTTCTTGCAGTCCACAATGATGGTTTAGACCGAAAAAAGTCACATTCATGTTTGGGTTTTACAGGCATAAATACTTTCTAGTTAACTGAATGTAAATGGCAAATGTTCAATAAACTGAAATCCAACTAATCTTTATGGATAAAAAATGGTGTCAGCCTTCTGTCTCATACAGAGAAATAGCAACACATCAATGCTGGCCAGTTCCACTGTGTCTAATGCCGTTACATCAGTTAGTCAGCACCTAGAATAACATTCAGTAAGTAAGCTTCATCCACTAAACAGTCCTAGCTTTACCACAGTCAATTAGCTCATTTCCCATGTGTCATCTCTCCGGCTCACTCGTTAGGTAATGGATGACCTGCTGACTGGTCACATCATGCCGGAAGCCCTTGCCCTTAATGCTCACACTTAATAAAATTGCCACTAACATACACAGACACAAGCCCAGAGGAAATGAAGGTAGCTCCGTCTGGAGTTTTTTATAATCAGTCCAGTTTTATGGAGGTTCCCTGGGGAGACTAGGACCTATTTCCTCAGCCTTCAGGGGGTCATTCAGGATACAGGAGGGTGCTAAATGACACACCAGACCACGCCACCAGTCTCTTTTATCTCAAGAGTACACTTACTGGTCCCCAATGTATAGTGCAGGCTAATTGATCTAAGTTATTCCCTCAATGGTGTTTGTGATACATAACCGGGATTATGTTCTTTGTGAAATGTAGGTTCCTTCCCTCCAAGGGTTAGTAGCAGATAAAGGAAGCACAAGCTGTGTATATGTTGCTAACCAGATAGCTAACAATACCATGCTGGCAACTATAGAATAAAAGCAGTATTCCTTTTGTAAAATAAACAAACAAAATACTTTTTGTAAGAAATAATTGAGACAGATAGTGAAGTTACAGTAGAGTTGTGTTTTGCCCGGGATACACAGAGCTTGTTCTTCATGTTGGGGAGCTAACGATTTTACCCCCTGTTGTTTTTGGCTAACAAAGCTGTACTTTTCTTGTTTGACTGCTCTACCATATGGAGGATAGTGTGTGTCTGATAGATAGCTTAAGCCTTGGTATTTTGTGTGAGTTTTTGCTGCACAAATCTTTTGTAACTTACAGATATGTACAGAAACTATATTTTACAACCGCTACAGTCATTCAAGCTGTGTGTTATCATCCAACCATGCTAATAACAGCCATGAGTTAAGGCTAACTGCGCTGCTTTTATGATAAAGATAACAGAAGGCTAACCGAGGGTATCAGGAAAAGATCTCATCTACTTGGGGATGTGTCTTACTTCCTCCGGCTCTTAGTGTTAAACTTGTAAAACTTTTGATATGCATTCGTGACAAATCATAATTTGATTCAAGTTGTTTCAGGGATGTTGGTGCATATATAATCGCACTGAAGATTCTGTTCTTATTCATAATTGCTGTTTTTCCCTCTTTCCTTGTCTTAGGTCTGGCAGTGTGAAGAATCACTGGGATGAAATCACCTACTTCGTGGAGAATTTAGCTGAGAAATTCAAAAGGTAAGAGACATTTAACACGTGTACACGTTAACACTATTAACCCATCAAATATGTAGCAAAAAAGTGGAACTACGTAGGTGAACATTATACCGTAACATTCAAAATCTTTGGAATGGTTTCACAACCGGACTTTAGGTCAACAGCCTTGTTTCATCCGTACTCGACTTCCTGGAGCCCCGAGATGTAGATCACTAAAGAGAAACACACATTTTACACAGCAGTCATCCCCGTGAAGTAAAATAAAATCTGTCCCTACAGCTACAGCTGTCCATATGCTAAGACACTCAGCATCCAGGCTGATGTTTCACTCTGTCTCTGCAGCAGCCTGAGCTGATGTTTGGCGTCAGTGGGGTTACCAGCAGTGACTACAGCCTAGAAGCTCTCTATGTGTATGTAGCCTGGATTTTATGGCCTCTTTAGACTTAAGGGGGGCAAAAAGTGATGGATGCTTCCAATGGCTGCAAATTATTAGGTGTGTTCATTAAGTGTAGCCTCTTTCTGTTTCTGTGAAACTCCACTGTAAATCCAGGATGGACGATGCAAACCAACCTGAAACATCTCCTTCATCTACCCATGCTGCTGTATACTAGAAGTTGCCAATGTGTTGCTCATTATTATCATATGATGTGTACATTATCTTATGCCTTAAAATAGAGTTCATATTTTTCACATGTGGCACTCTGAAGTGTTACATACTTGCATGTCAAAAATACAAGCTCTATTTTAAGGCATTGTAGCTCTAGAGCAGTAGGAATGCAGTGTAAAATGTGACATTTCAACAAATGGCCTTCAGCTCATGGGTGGTTTTGTTTTGTCCATACTGCTTGAAGGCCACAACAACACCTGGGACTTTGAGGTTCAGCCATAGCAAAGAGCCGACCCTCCTCAAAGTTTCTGTTTTCAACAAACACAAGAAAATTTCAAACAGCGCAAATCTGCATGAACTTACTTTCTCTCACAAACAACTTTTTTTGAAGTTTTTTTAACGTCAGATAGCCGTGTGTTTGTTTACATGCATGTAATTCCTTTCTAAATTATTTTTTTCACAATTAAACATAAGTAACAGACTTGTCCACATCTGAGGATTCAGTGACAGCGTTCGAGTATCAACACAGAAGGCACTGTCACGCATTCAAATCCTGCACACTGACACAAACCCATGCACACTGTCACGTCTGAGTGTGTTGGGCTGCATTCAAGAAGCAATTTGGAGGAATTTTGGAGTGACTTCAAAGGAAATTAAGTAGTTTTTGCGCAATGAGATGTTAGTTTTTTTTTTAATAGGAAGACTCATTCCTTGGGTTATTGCCAGAATTTTTATGTTTCTGAGGAAAACAATATGTTGCGATATTACTGCAACACAGTACTTGTAATATTTTTAATTAATCTTTATGTGGAAGTGTTTTTATACGTCCAAAGTGGGAAATCACCAACCAACATTAACATTCTGTTGAATTCTGTTTTTGGCAGTTCCTCTTAGAGTTTGGGGATTTCAGTGCTGTACACTCATCAGTGAACTGGCCAAGAGTGTGGGTTAATGAATGACAAGTGTGATGATTGATTTTGTATTCCTGTTCCAGTCCCATGCTGAGGATGTCCTTCATAACATTCTCCTCCAGAGCATCCACCATCATGAAACTGACGGAAAACAGGTACATTAAGCGATGGTTAATGTAATTAATGAACTACAACTGACTAATCAAAGCTGAATCTGTGTTCTAAATAAAATAAATGCTTTTCTACCATGGAATACTCTTCCACAAGCAAAACTATCAGTCTTAAAGTAAATTCTAACTATTGCACTTGAGTGAAAGCAGATGCTCTCTGCTGTTGCATAAAGCTGTTGTTTTGAGTGAGAGAGTTTTGTGTGTGAGAGGTGAGATCCACTATAAACCACTGTTGCGTAAACTGGGGCTTCATTTCCAACAGAGATGTCTCAGTTTGCATTAGTGCTCCACTAAATGATATGAACATAATCAGTTGAACATTTCTGCAAAGGATAGAGACATACTAATCTACATGATTGGAAATGACAGAGACCATATTGCTAAATGTGGAGAGAAGAGGGGAAAACACAGAGGGAAACACAAATATTTCAGGGAGGTGGATTAGTTTCCAAAATAGCGGATATGACAAATAGGACAAAACTGCAGTTATAACATATTTTGATTAAAACAAACTGGGCTATCTTTTTTCTCTGCAGAGTGGACATCAGAAAGGGACTGAACGCTCTGAAAAAGGAGATTCCCGGTGGAGACACATTCATGCACCTTGGACTGCAGAGGGTATTATTCTTGTTTGTTATTTAACATTGAGAATCAAACCAGCAAATCAAAGTCTATTAAACTACTAGTTTAAATGTGAAATCTTGGGTATTTCCTCACAATCTGACCGTGAATATATCTTCTCACTTAAAGGCAAATGAGCAGATACACCAGGAGAACTTTGGTAAGCATCAAATAACTGATTTGTATGAAAACTGAATTATGTTGCGGTTATAGCACGTCTGTATGTCTCTTCCAGGCACGGCCAGCGTGATTATTGCACTGACAGACGGAGAGCTGCAGGAACATCAGCTCATCACTGCACAGCAAGAGGTAGCAACTTCACACCGAGGCCTAACATACTCTCATTGCTTGAGTGCCAGTTTCCTGGAAGTTATAGATTTATCCCCTATTTTTTCCAACAGGCGGAGAGAGCTAGGTCTCTTGGAGCTATTGTGTACTGCGTTGGTGTGAAAGACTTCAATGAGACACAGGTAATGCAATGGCAACGCAATAAAAGTGTTAACACGTATAGTCCATGCATGTTATACGTCTGGTTTGATACATTCTGTCCCTAAAATTCATTGTAATTATCTTTACAATCTACAGGCCGGTTACAGTTTACCATGCATGTACTGTACACCGCATGTGCTCAGGAATCCATATACGTGTGGAAACATCCAAAATGCTTTTACCTCCATGTTGCGTAGAGTATATTCAGTGGCCCCTGCGCAATTTGGCTAACCCATAATTTGAAAATTTCCTGAAAACTAATCGGAGTGATTTTAAACTCGGAGCTGCCTCCTAGGCTGCTGCAGATGCCAACTTACAAGGTTGGACTGGAGAAATGTCTGAATAATACTCTACAATTAGCTTCACCATGTTGATGAGGAGGATGATTCCCTTTCCTGTATTTAATGTGAAAGATATTTGAGACCTCAGGGTTTGCCCCTTTATAAGGGCTGGTTCGTCCTTCAGTAACCAAACGACTTTAGTTCAAGCTCCATTTGATTGATTATAAATGGACCCATTACCTGATTGTGGATAATGTGTGATCATTATTGTGCAGGGGATTCAATGTCTGAAACTATGTCACACCAAGTACATTACACTAACCTCTTTAAAACAATCTGGTAATTTCATTTTCCACAATTTACGTCTTCAGGTAATTATTTATTAAACATTCTGTGAATAAATTCTGATTTAATATAGTTACTGAAAGACAATCCACACCTCTGTCTCTGCTCCTCTCTCCTTATAGCTCGCCACCATTGCAGACACCATCGAGCATGTGTTTCCTGTGTTGGGCGGCTTCCATGCCCTCCGGGGAGTCATTGATTCGGTAAATAAACTCAGGGAAGCATTCCTGTTGCTGAGCCTCACAAACAAGCCGTGCAAACGTCAATGTATTTATCTTGAATCTGTCCTGCGGCAGTACAATGACCTTTTATTACTCCCTTGGGTGTTAGAACTGACTCTGGAAAACACTCAAAGCATGAATATACAGAAAACTGCCTCACTTACTGTAATAGGAGTGTTTTTAAGGAGTTACCTCCAGCCTTGTTTCTCATCAGCCTCTCAGTCCATTCACTATTGGTTTTCACAACACAAGACTTCCTAAGTAACACTGACACGGTTTTAGTCAAAGAACCACGGCAAACAGACCCTGTGCACTATTTTTTTTATATGTGCCAAGAATGTATACTGGGCTCATGAAACATATTCATAGTACAGGCAGGATTCAATTTGTGTTTCTCAAGAGAGAAACTAATATTTTCATCAGTTTCCCTGTTTGTGTGAATGAAGTGGTTCCCTTTTTTCTGTCATGTAGTCCTCACACTGCACATATGCAGTTTACAATACTAATGTTACAGGTTTAAAGAGATAGACAAAAGCTCCTCAGTTGTAGCCGGTGACGGGTCAGTTTGCTAGCTCTGAATGACTAGGCAATCATACAATTATGTTTTCACTTTTAACATCCCGAGAGAACAGGCGTTTACGGGGAGTGAGGACTAACACATGTGTTTGGCGCACATAATGCTATCTCAGGTCACCTTGGCTGTGGTTGTCGGAGTCTAAACTTCTTCAAATTCATTGCAGTGCAGACACACTGCGCTAGTTGTGAAAGTAACTTGTAGCCCCACGAACATATGTTGGCAGTAACCTCAGAATAATAATAATAATAATAATAATGAACATATTGTTTAATCCATTCTTTCCACTTTTACGTTTTGGGTTTTGGGTTTAGCAAACAGTCGGTTGGTATGAATAAGGGTCGGTTATTCAAGAAAAGAACTAGTTCATACAGTCAGAAGGAAAAAGCTTTGTAGCTGTTCCGAACGGCCACACTGGAACGCAAAGTAAAAAAGCCGACCTTCACAGAGAGGCACCAGACGCTGTAATCATTCAAATATGCGAATAACCCTGCACAGTCTCTCCTGGAATACATTCATAGCTTCGCACATGAAAAGTAACTTGAGAGAGAAGTTCAGACCCTGGCTCCTTTCTCACCTCCACACTCCTGGCTTATAACCGTGTGAAGTGAGTGTGAATGTCAAGATGTGCAGTTTCGGAAAGGTTACGGCCCAGAAAGGTGTGGGAAAGCCATCTGACCACCTGACAAGCAGTTGTGATGGAGTATACTTAACTGTTTTGACCATAGTGTTCCAAATAAGCATTGCGAGAAGAGGAAACATTTTCAAACGTGAGACGCACAATGATACAGTATGCATAAGGACATGACTTCATTTTTAGCAGATTTTTTCTCGACCTCCGTTTTCCTAACAGTAAAATTTGACAAACCTGCTCGGTACAAACAGGTCTGCAGTGAAGAAAAACTGATCGCTGTCTTTCTCCTCATTTCCCTTCCAGATCATCAAGAAATCCTGCATTGAGATTTTGGCAGCTGAGCCCTCCAGTGTGTGTGCAGGAGGTGGGGAGCTAAAAACACACATTCACACACAAACCGACGTGGGTCTCTCCTAAGTCATCCACACCAGTGCCACCCTCACATCATTTCTTCAACTGTGTTAATTTCATTAATGGGTGCCCGTCTCCCCTTCTCTCACTTCAGTAATGACAATCCCAGACTGAAAAGCCACTATATATGGGCATCCAGGTCACTTACAGGAAATCTACTGGGACACGATACTGCAGTGGGAATATTATTATACGGTCTCATTAAAAGGATTGACCGTGAGAGAGTGGCAGTGGTGAGATTGGCTGCAGCTGAAATGCAGAGTAGACAACACCCTTTAGTGTCCTGCCAAGAGAAAGATTATGACAGTTAAAGCAACATTAGATGGACATTAAAAGGCACAAATGAACAGATAAAAGCAGGGGTTGATTAAACACTTTTGGCAAAAGCAAAGGAGATTTTATTGCTTCTAACATCTGCTTTTGTCTTTTATTAAGCAGTGAATTACTGTCACTCTTCAAGAGGAAAAGTATTTCACTTGAAACTGAATAGTAGTCGCTGGTTTGGTGCAGCAGTGAGTGCTGTACTCTACAGCTCACTCCTGCAGGCTCAGTCTCTTCTTAATACATTTATAGCTGAGTATTTTCTCTGTGTTGCAGGCAACATTGCAACCATTGAAGTTAATGTCCAACAATTATAACTCAGTCATATGCCGTGGGGCTTAGTTGTGGGGTGGAAAAGTTGACTTTGTACTTTGTTTATTCAAATTCCCTCGACCCAATTATAAGCAAATTAGGGCTCATAAATTAAAGTCACAAGATTTAATCGTTTGCCTGCTTAGTGGACAAAGTTTGGACAACCAGATTAGAGATTTAGGCCAAAACTAATGTGTTGCTCTTTTTCTTTTTGTCTCACTTGGTAATTTTTTGGATGATATAGCTTGACAAACCAAAAGTATATATTAGAAAAATGAGGAATGAAAAATATATGTACATATAGTTATCCATAAACTGCACTGTATGTATATTTATACATATTTAAATATCGTAAACACATAAAACTTAATAAATTAATGACTGATGTGTCATTTTCAGTAGCTGATACATTATGTTTTCACATGAACCACACTACAGTTTTATTTTAGTGACACAGTTCAAATGTTGTTGTTCAGACAGACCAATAAACTGAATTAATGGAGGAAGCCATTCAGACTTTAAATATTGCCCTGGCCTTTAACCATGCTGGAAAATGTAACTGTGTAGTCTTAAATATGAAAATTAGCCTCATGTACAATACATACAGTATAAAATGTCGTTTTGCTTGGCAAGGAGTTTCTAAAAAATAAAAAAATGTCAATGTGTGTCATGTAACCAGAGTCTTTCCAAGTGGTGGTGAAAGGAAACGGTTTTCTCCATGCCAGGAACATCGAACAGGTGCTCTGCAGCTTCAAAATCAACGATACCATAACAGTCAGTAAGTACACCTACACTCTGCTTGTATCTGTCTTTTCTGTAACAAGGTTTATACCACTCTCTGTTTGGGTCATTTTCAGTCTTTTTGTCAGTGTAGTTTATCAGCATGTTGTCTTTGCCTCGTAGATGAAAAGCCGGCTGGTGTAGAAAACACGTTCTTACTGTGTCCAGCTCCTGTCATCGATGAAGTTGGGAAGTAAGTGCCTCTTTTTTATGACTTTATGAATTTAGTTGTTCAAGGGGAAGTGCTTATATTTCACACAAAGTGGAATTCACGTAATCACATTCTTTACCTCAAACACAGAGAAACACAGACTGTATATGCATACACCCGTTTATGGGCACAGGCCATAAGAAGGCTGCCATACATTAACTCCTTTTACGATCCCTATCCGTGGCCGCATTCCTCTTTTCTGGATCCCAGTACAGCTTAGCAAAATATAAGGGGCTCTGTAGCGGTGCCAGCACACACAGTGGTAAACCCTTCATGCATTTGTCCTGCTTCTGTCCTGAATTAGAACAGAGACGAGAAAGAGAAAACTGGAGACAGTTGTTTTTTTACTTACATAAGCACTACTAAGTCAGTACTAGAAACTTGCAAATCTAAAGTGACTCGCGACTTTCTGAATCATTAGTTTTAAATTCTGATGACAAAAAAGAGAGCTGAGGTTGGAGCATCCAGGTATCTCACCTGGTAGAGCGTGTGGCCCTCTCTCTCTTTCACTCTGCCCCTTTCCTGTCTATCAAGCTAGCTGTCCTACCAAAATAAAGGCAAAAAAAGACCAATAGAAATTTTTTTTTTTTTAAAGAGAGAGAGAGAGCTGTTGTTCTGTTTTGTTTCATTGACTCCTAAGTCTCAGAGCAGTGGAGCAGAAGTGGACCAACAGACCAACAAATTTGTTCTTTTCACTAATCAATATTTTTAAATGAACAAATGATCAAATCAAAACCCACAGAGAGTTATTAGCCAGCTCTACAGAATATTTTAGCATCTTTCAGCTCATGTTTTGGTTTCACATCCCACAACTTGATTGCTGTTTTGGTTCACTCTCACTTCTGTATCATTCCATTCCATTTTTAAAAAGCTCTAAAAACACACTGTGTGCTATCAGCAGAGACAAATATTTTCCTTAGGAGTTGGTGGAGACCAAAGCAGAGCTAAAAGGAGCTAAAAGGAGAGTGAATATGTGTATAGTGATGCTCAAGATCTGCTGAATGTGTACATAGGAAACTGTTTGCTAATAAAGCAGCTGTTAAAGACCTAAAATACTTGTACTTTTGTTTCATCTTCGTGCCTGTACTTTGCATGATTCTGAAGAATCTTCAATGAGGTTCTTGTATTGTTGACACTTAATCGGAGTGTATGATCATTTCTGATTTCTGATCAAAACCTCATGTAGTGCTGGTTTGTTTGACAATCTGCCATTTTGCCTGTGAGAAAACACAAATGTTGACCTCAGTGTGAGTACACTGCTGGCTTCAGACTGAGATAAGTGGGAGAAGATCTGATTATAGTGGATTATATTTGTTTGTTCAGAATCAGGTCTATTGACTTACAGATTAAAAATACAGCATGTTTCAATCACTCCAATGTTCTCTGGCCCACTGAAGGAAAAGAGGGAGGCGGTGGGATGTGAAGACAACTGAGGGTGTTTTACTCAAACATTCACCACACAAAAGTCACACAATTTTCTGGTGTAACCAACCCTAGCCTCGACCAGAGTCACTGTGTATCAGTTGGTCTCTTTTTAAAGCCCAGCCTTGTTCCAAAGTCAACAATCCACAAACCTCTCTAACCTAAGTCTTTATGGGAAGAAAAGTACAAGAGGCCACAGAGGAGAAGGTTCAGTGGACTGTGGTTAAAGACTTTAAACTGCACGGAGAGAAAAAAGGGGAGAAGGGCTCACAATATTAGACTCACACACTGTCTTGACCGTTAATAATATTTGTGTTGTTGATATCATTATGACACAAAGTCCTTCATTTTGTTCTCCCATAGAAGTTGTAAAACTAATTTACAGTCAATATTTGCACTGGCAGTGGTGTGGAAAGAGAGAGGATTTGATTTTAACTGCAGTGGGGAAAGATTTAAACAACCTGGACTGATGACTTGAAGCTTTAATCGATACCTTTGCAGTCGTAAAACTGAAGGTACATCGTGTGCCTTTGCCTCCCTTAAAACTTCCCATTAAGTCTTTGTATATGTTCCTGCCCCTTAGATCTCTTAAACTTTCCATCCAATCCCCATGACACTTAACCTCCTGACTCTCTATCTTTTTTCCCCTCCCCCTTCTCCCCTTTTCTCTCCACCTCTGCCTTCACTTTCGGTGCCACGGTGGCTCTTTTCACCAACTGCTTTGCCTCGCTGGTTGTTTTTCACCACCCCCTACCTCCTCTGTGTGCCCGTCTCGGTATCTGTCTTTTATTTTTCTCTGTCACACAGGAACTACCTCTTTCATCCCCTGTCAGTCCTTCGCTCTCTTTCAACAGGCTCCTTGTCCAGTTTTGGCTGATCAAAGCCATGTAGCAGCTAGCCTGGTCTTTCAAGTGTGGGGCCATGTGTTTGTATGCAGTCTGATTCTCTGCAGGGCGGAAAAACCTTCACAGAAAGTGTTTAAACTGCGCCATTAATACCCAGATTAATCAGATAGTTTTGACTGATTAGCCGCTATTCATATCATGGAACTGAACTTTGGTAGAAAATTTTACAATTTTGTTGTCTCTTTAGTCAAAACCCAACCTTTTTTCAGTGCTGCATTGCATTCTGGTCTATTTTCTATGTCTGACATCTTATCACCTATGCTAGGCCTTTAATACAAAGTAAAAACGAATGCAGGCTATATAACGCTTTTAGGATTTTTCCTTTAAGGCCAGTTGACCCACACCACACAATGAGTGGCAGATGAACTCTAGGGTATGCCCCATTCAAGTGTGTATGTGTGTGTGTGTTTTGCCTGAACCGCCTGCCCCGTCTGGTTTATTTCTTTGCTTAACAGCTGTCAGACATGGTGCTCTACAACCAACTCTTCCTCCCCACTACATTGTTTCATCCACATCCTCAAATTCTCTGCCTTCTCCCTTCTTTTAATAACCAGTAAAAATTCAAACTAATAAAGTTCAAGCCTCTTTCGTGAGCTACACCCAGACTAGATCATTGTTTTAGATTGGAAACAAAATAGACTGAAGCAGAATCGCATTAAGTCATGTTTTAGGATCCTTCTGACAGAAATATCCAGTAATAGATTAAATTATAAGACAATATGTTCATTATTATCACCAAAACCAGCAATTAATTGATCCTAATAATATTATGTTGTCCAAAAACTAATGAAATATGTTCCCTTATTACAAAGAACCTGAGCACTGTGGTTTATTTTGTCTCAATCCCACATTCATAAATACTTTACTAACAAAATGATTGATCTGCCACGGAAAATAGTCCCCTAACAAATTCTATAATCTATATATTCCTGTCACCTACATCCTTTGATAATAACTGAAGGAACTAAAAGGAATGCTGGTTGGATGTGCGTCTAAACGTGAGTGAGCGTCCATATTTTCACGCTGTTGTCCACATGAGATCTCTCACTCTCTTTCTCTCTCCCGACGCCATACGTGATTCTGCGGGACATCTGCTCCACGAACGGTCTGCATACGTTACATGTTCAGTGTTGCAAAAGCTTAACACATTGTTGGTTTTGGCCTTTTCATGGTGATTTGTTGACAATAAGAAAAATAAAGAACAATGCCTCTTTCAACCTATTTTCCAACAATAGTTAGGACCACTGTGGTTTTAAACAATTCTGCATTGTTATTAAAGACTTCTATTTTTTTTATCTTAGCACATAAGTTTTAACTTAAATTTGAGTGAAGATTTTTACTCAGCATACAACCATATTGTGCTGATACATCCAAAACATGAAGACAAACCGTCTCTTTTTTAGCATTAGGTCTATTTTGAGGTTTTAGTCCCTTAGTGCCAAGCTGTTTGTTGTCAGCAAGGTACATATGCTGTTGATCATGAACTTCACCCGCTTACCCAGCTCTTTTCTCCCCCTACTCTCCTTTTTCTTTAACCCAGACACCTCTCTGAGTCAGAGTAAAGACAGGTTTATCGGTCAAATGGGCTGCTTTACATCTGCCAGACCTCATTCAGGTCCACCTGGTGCCTCAACCAAGAGGGGGGTGTTTAAAATGCATGCCTTTCATCCACATGTTTTGAAGATCTGAACGAGAACAGGCTCCAAAGAGACCACTGGAGGTCACGTGAAATTCCCAGAATTGTTTTTCCCCACTTGGAGGAGGAAGGGATTCAGACCATGAAGAAAGACTCTCGCAGTTCCAAAAATGGTAGCAGGGGTAGGAGATCCTCAGAGGACATAGAAAGAGGATGAGCAGAAGGATATTTTGACAGAGAGTTTATAAGTCTTACTTTGCTGCATTTTATATCCCATAAAGGAAATTATTTAGTAGCTCCAAGTAGGCATAGACTGTATAGTATGGCAGAGATTGTTCTCATTCCTGAGAGTGCAGTAAGTATGGTGTCATGTCTTAGAAAAATACACAACTTGCCCAGAACCATAAAATCAAAATCTTAACTCGCAGGTTGTGTTTTTTTTCCATTCCCATTTTCCTCAAGTTCATCAATCCCACCTTGGCCTTGTTCCTGCTGTGTGGCTCACGCAATCACACCTACAGTTTGTTGTTTTTTCACTGGTTTTTAACCACAGTGGAAAACTTTTGTGTTTGGTTCATTTGGGTTCAAATTGCTCAATTACATGTGAAACAGGGCTCATAAACAAAAGTCACTCCACTCACCAAGTAGCTCATTTACTGGACATAGTTGTGGTAGCATGTTCTCCTGCCAGGTTGGAAAGAGTCTGAACTAATCTGATTCCAGTTTGTGTAAACTCAGAAGAAACATCTGAATGTGAGCATCGCTTTGTTCTTAGCCTGAAAATCTCATTCGACTCACACTCCTTCGTCTTTTGTGGTCGTTTCCTCTCGGTTCATTCATTCTCGCTTCTAACAAACCACCTCACAGTTAGCAGGCGGTTCGGTGACGTTATTTGGTTTGAACCCGAGTTCAAATGACATCATTCTGGTCAAACAAACTAAGCAGAAGGAGGAAAGGCTTCAGACTAAATAAACTGCATCAAACATGTTAGTTGGGGACAGTAATGAATAAACAGAACATACTTGTCCTGTGTGTGTGCTGTTTTGTTTCAGGGTGATTTATCTCCAAGTGAGCATGAACGACGGCCTGTCCTTCATCAGCAGCAACGTGCACATCACCACCACAGAGTGTGTAAGTGGGAGCTTTTTGTCCTCTGATCATGCATTTAATCTGCATTCCTCCCTCTTGGAGGTGCATTAAAGTGCAATCATGCAGTGAAAACAGTAAAAATAAAAATGGAAACTTTTGCACCAGAGTAGATTGTAATAATGTTTTCAAATTCTTGTCTATAGCAGTGTTGTTTCCTCCACACAGATGACGAATACTGTTTAATTTTGATTCAATATGTTGAAGCTTCTCAGCTAAAAAAATAGAATTATAGATTTTCTCTTGAGATTTTGCATGTTTCATAATATAATAAAAGAGGTTTTCCATTTCTTATTGTATTGCACTCTTCTCCAACCTCATCTCTTGCACACTTTCCCTAGAAGTTAGAATGTTGTTTTGTTCTCTGCAGTGAGTTTCCTTACCTCCTTTTATCTCTTTCATCTTCCCTTTTTCCATTTTGTTATTTTCCCCGTTTTTTTCGGGGAGCCAAACCACAGGGGTTTGTAGTAGCGATCCACCCAAAAAAGACCCTCTGCCCAGGGTGGCAGGAGACAAAAGGTTAAAGAAGCAGGTTCATGACCGTGAGGCTGCCGCCTCAAGCAACATTTTGGATGTGAAAGTGAAAGAGAAGCATCCTGTAACAGACACGACTGAAGTGCATGTAGACTCTTGTAGCTCCCAGGTGTATGAATGCATATAACTTGTGTCAGTGTGAAGCAGGGTGGAGCTTAATTCCCTTCAAACCAAGATTAAACGAGACGCAATTTAAGACGATTTAAAGCAATTTAACAAAATAAAACACGTATGTTGGAACATATGGACTGAAGCCACAGCAGATTCCCACCCAGCCAAAAGGAAACACGCTCTTTGAAGCTGTTCCCCCTCAGTCCATGTGACATCATACCCATGAAAATACTGTGAATTCAGGCAGCTGTGTTGTGGTTCATGATATACAGAGCTCAATTAGACATACCATTGCAATGAGCCTCTTGCCACTAAACTATACCATATAGGCTAAACTCACACCAGGATTAAAGAGGCACGACAAGTTGCTAACTTGAGATGGGTAGGCCTGGTACAATAAAGTCTATGGATAAATCAAGAATGAAAACAAACCCAACAAACCCCTGCAGCCCCTCCCCATATCCTCCCAAAGTGCTGCTTCCAGCTGTTTCAACCTTTGTAGTTAGTCCACAAAATGTGCCCATATAGCACAAGAAAACACACATTGTATGTGCAAGAGTGACAAAACGCAAATGTGGTCACTGTTGACATTTTTGAAATTCTTTGATAAACCATTACCTACTTACAAATTCTGCATGTCAGCTGTTACAGAAAGAGTGCTGATTGGTACATTTCTGGGAAACAGTCATTTGGTTTCAGTGATGTGCTGTCCGTGATGGACCCCACTGCTGAGTTCAAATAACTCCCCCCATGTCTCTGCCACAAGATAGATAGGGGAAAGTCTAACCACATGTGATCCTCATCTGTGGTCTGTAATGGGAACCATGTTTGGCTCATGGATGCCTGCCTGGCTTAAAGTGAGCAAAATAACTGATGAATTCATTCAGGAATCACACAACTTACACCAACCACTGTCATCAGAAACGCAAAAACATGAATATTTACAGTGACAGAACTGACCAAGCAAGAAAAATCAGTCTCAAGGCTTCTTCCATCATACAAATATGATTATATTTCCATTCTACCATTATTGCTAATAGTATTATTACTGGATGTACAACATAGTCTAATACTACTGCCACTCTATTTATTGTCACTACTACCACAGCAGCGTAGGGATTTGTTTTCCATAGATACTAGTTTAAATCTCTGTCCAGCTGGATACATGTGGGTGGAGGAAGGTGGTTAGTGTGCAGTCAGACTTTCCTTTGGTGCAGTGCTCATGTGGTACTGATGTATTAGTGTGTGTGTGTGTGTGTACTCTCCAGTTTGATGGCACCATTCTCCTGATCACTCTGCTGGTGTTGTTCCTCCTGCTGGCCCTGCTCTTCATGTGGTGGTTCTGGCCTCTGTGCTGCACTGTGGTAAGAAACTTACACTTGCATTCAGGAAAGTGGACAATTTAAAAAAAAAACATTAACAATTATCCAGTGTTTGAAAAGGCTTTGTCTAAAGTCCAAAGGGCCAATACGCAAATTCAGAGTCCTTACAAAACAAAAACATAAAACCCTTAAGAGGTCCTCTAAGACATGTAGTGCTGATTTGATTAATGTGTTTGTGAAACGCTAAACAATGTCACATCTCTTATTTTTCCACAGGTGATCAAAGAACCACCTCCTCCACCTCCTCCTGAGCCTGTGAGTCAAAATACACACATATTTACCCACCATGTCTGAAGGAGAATGTATGTCTGATACTTAGTCACAACTTGTCACGTCCTGTGGTCCTTTGCTTCGTGTCATCCCCTCTCTCTCCCCCCCTTTCCTGTCTATCTCGAGTGATCCTGTCAATAAAGGCAAAAAGCCCCCCCTTTATGTTAATAATAATCAGTATTACATACACACATTAAAGGTTATAAAGGGTAGTAGTGGATAATTCCAGCTTATGTACAGATCTCAGCTCAGTATTATTGACACTTGACTTCTAGTCAGCATATAAAAGTTCATCTGTGTGTATATTCGAGTGGACAAAGTCAGTTATTCTGTCTAATTACTTGTGTTTTAGGAGTCAGATGATGAAGACGGCCTGCCCAAGAAGAAGTGGCCCACTGTGGATGCCTCATATTACGGAGGAAGAGGAATCGGTGGGATCAAGAGGATGGAGGTGACACACATTGCATAATGTTAAAAGATAATCATAATTAAATCTATAACACAAAAAACTGAGGGAAATCGGAACACTCTAGGTTACAGCCTTTTGTGTGTAATTCATGTACTGTCTGCTGTCTGTAGGTGCGCTGGGGAGGGAAGGGCTCGACTGAGGAGGGGGCTAAGCTGGAGAAGCCGAAGAATGCTGTGGTGAAAATGCCGGAGCAGGAGTACGAGCCTTTCGAGCCCAAACCTAAGAAAGCTCACAACAAGAAGGCTCCTCAGAACCGGAAGTGGTACACGCCCATCCGGGTAAACACAGACACTTCCCCTCAGGACCAAAAATACAAGGGGGCACTAACACGTTGGCGTTTAGTTCACTTCACTACATTCCTTCAGTGTGCATCTCAGTGGGTGATGACCAACTTTATAGCACACCAGTGCATCCTTGCTGTGCTGTTACAAAATGTCAACTTTTCAGGAAATCTGCCTTGTTTACAGATTGACCACTGCACATTTTTGAGTTCCTGCCCAGTAAGTTTCAAATAACTGAGTGTGGCAGAATTTTTCTTCAACCACAGAGAAGCCTCAACTCCTTCAACTGAAGTTAAAACATGAAAAACACCACGAGTGGCGTTGCAAAGTTTTCACAAGACAGCAGGGAGGAATAAAGGCCATTCTGACCATATTTATGTATAATTAGTTGCATAAGCACCAAATTCCCCAGCTATCAATGTGCACACATAGCCAAAGTAATGTAACATATTCAGCAGACAGAGGGACATTATTAGACTTGGCGTCAGTGCTGTTCGTGCTTTAATCGCACACTACAATACAGCTCTGTGCAGCAACACTGGCCTTTCATACAGGAGCAGCGCTTACTGTTATCTGACTACCAAACAACTTTAAAGGCTGTATTTTGAATATGACTCAGGTCTACAAACAGCACTGCAGTAATTCATAGTGAAGTTTACACTGTTACTAAATCACAGTTACAGTAGGAAAAAAGTGAATTTATACACTGGCTAGTTGCTGTGTGATGTTGGGTCCTTACACAGTTCTACACCTAAAGATCTTTTAATAAGTTGTGGGTAGTTTTAGATGTTGACTTCCTTCTTCTCATGTGTGTGCCCTTGAGGGTGCTCATTTTCGTGCCAAAAGCATCATAACAACAGCATCTTACGCCTTAAATAAGGAAGAAAAATACCCCTATTAATTTATTTAACACCAGATTAAGACTTGTGTCTTGCAGCTCTGTCGAATGTTAAAAGAGATTTTTTTTTCCAATAAAGGTTGCATTAACATTCACCTGGGATTACTAAAGCTGTTATTGTTGGGATCATCATTTCTTTCCTGCATATTAAAACCAATCTGCTGCTCCGCTGCCAAACTATTTCATCCTTTTTTCCCTGGCCGGTCGTTGTATTCGTGAAAGGGAAACACAAACTGCTGTATTTGTGGCAGCAGAGAAACTGACTCACCAGGATTTAAAGTTCACGTGTCTTCAGTTAATCAGACGTCAACCAAAATATAACCAGGTGACTAATCAGCACAGCTTCAACCAGAGAGGAAGGAACTAATCAGTAGAATCAGCTGCTGTAGTGTTTGTTTGGGATTAAAATCTGCAGTCTCCTGGCTTTGGAGGAACACTGCTGAGAACCACAGACCAAACGTTTGCTGATACAGTAGAATCAGTATTAATAGGATTTTATTAAGGATTGCAGTGTGGGAGAGTTTGGTGTCCAGATGTGGCCAGCTGTTAACCCCCCCTCCTCTATCCTGTGCAGGGTAAACTGGATGCTATCTGGGCTCTGTTTCGCCGCGGGTACGACCAGGTCTCCCTGATGAGACCCCAGCCCGGGGATCATGTGAGTACCTCAGCAGTGCACCATGAAATATTTCATTTCATCAAATGCTATTTTACGCACACCCCCACTCACATTCACTTCCCCTGTTCCACATTTTTATGCCTCAGTTCCTCCCTCCTGTAGTGATTTATACCTGTGGTGACCCACAGTTGTATGACCCTCTTCTTCCGTTCTTTCACCCTTGCTTTCCGTCTTCATTCATATTACTTTTGTCTTCTCTTTTTGAGATCTTTTAAAGTACCTTTTTTTCTTTATTGGCTCAAATAACAATGATGTGAAAATTTTGGTGGCAGATATACCACTTAAAACCTTGAATGCAAACCAAAGCAGGCTGCTCATTTCTTGCCAACAGTGATTTTGCCAGAAGAAATGACAACTGTTGCTGACGGATATAATCTACTCTAGCTAGCTAATTATTAAAGCTAACTTAAACTCCATGAGTTGGTTGAAAACGCCATCGCCAGCTGACTTTGTAATGTTCGGTCCGGTATTGCACTGTAGAGCAAGAACAAGAAAGACAGAGGTTAGATTTAAGCTTTATTGTTTGTTAGGAGCTTAGGCAGCTTTTAGGATGAGGGCTTACCAATGTGGTAAACATAGTGCTAGTTTGACTGGGGTTTCTGGAGTTGTAAAGTTCACCAAATCTAGAGCAGGACAGAGGGGCTAACGTTACGCTTCACTCTGCTCAGTGAATGTGTTATCTTGAAGGGTTTGGGTTTTTTATTATTAAAAGAACCTTTAACCCTGCAAAATAATGTAATATGAAATGCTCCTTGGCCTTGAAAGTAATGCTGGGTTAATCTTCTGCTGTAGGTTGTAAGTTAGTGAGCCTGTTTTACCCCCCTCGCCCTCTGTAAAGTCCCATTCACAACACAACAGAAAAACCACCTAGTTACAGTTCATCTGTACCTATTACTCATCCCGTCCTCCCTTCCTCCATCTGTGTCTCCGTCTCATTCACTTCTGGTGTTCCTGGGTTGGCTAACACCTCTGTTGGCCCGTCTCCATCCCGTTGAGCCAGCCTCACACCTGCTTCACATTAGAGGCCATAAAACGGATAGAAAGCAGAACCGCAGCTCACACTTAGACACATCCTTGTAGCTCAATAGCAGTGTTTTCTGAGCTGTTCGTGTGTGTGTAAGCTGGTAAAAATTCTCTCTTCTTCACAGATCAGCCACATGGTTTAGTTTTAATTCCCGGAGCCTTTGTATCAAAAAGCCCCAGATAAGAGTTTGGTTTGAATCTAGAGAGAAGACAGGAGTTCACTGAGTACAAAAAGCTCTGAAGGGATGTTTTAAATCCTTCTGACACATTCAGCAAAGTCAGTTTTAGTGTTTAAATGTGTTCTGGTGATTCTTTATAATTTCCGACTTCACAAGGCTTAAGAGGCACTTTGGTTTTTAGCAACACTAGCAGTGTGTTTACCACTAAATAGCAAATGTTGCAGTAGCATACAAACATGCTAAAATAAGATATGAACATGGTAAACATACCTGATACAGATGAGCATGTAAGCATGCTGGCTTTAGCATTTAGCTCGAAGTATAGCCTCCCAGAGCTGCTAGCATGGCTGTAGACTCTTAGTCTGCAATAATATGATTCTCAAATAATACTGTAATCGTGGGCATCTTCCTCCTTATCATCTTCATTTCTCCTGCCCTCCCTCTCCACCTTTTCTTTAATTCTTCCTACTCTCCACGGCCGACTCCCGCTGATCAGGCCCCGTCCAAAGAGCTAGTTAAAATCATGCCCTATTAGCAGAAAATGTCCAATGATATTTTTTAATGGGAATTCCACATTTAAGAGTGTTTTTTTGGCACCACAAACAGAGACATAGACAGGATTTGCTTTTAGCGTTCCCTGAGACAAACAAGAAACACTCACCATTAGCTTACGATTCCATCTTCACCAGAGCACACTCAGCGCAATCAGATAAAAAAGATTTTGGATTTGATTTCCTTACTCAACAAATTTCTCCTACCCAGAGAAGCTTTTAGCGATGGCCACATACGTAAGCTCTGCATGACGCAATGCTTATTTTCTAGAAGAGATCGTGTCTCTCTTTCCACTCAAATGATGTCGCCTCCTCAAGTCATTTGCGGTTTGTAACGAAGCGGCAGAAACATCTCCCAGGCCAGCAGGCCGGCTCATTTCCAGGTAGCGTAATGTTTTATTTCAAAGAGAAAAGAGTGGAAACAAGCACGGACACCTCTTTCCCCACATTCAATGTTACCTGAAAAGCTATTTGTGTTAAATTCCCTGCCACAGTCCAACCCATAACAGTCTCACACTCCAAAGCTGGCGGACTTTCAAATCACCCTTTACATGAGGCCAAGTTGGTCGAGTTCAGTCTGGATTCTTAATGGGTCATTCTGTTGCTATGGTGCATTCTTCATCGCTGTGCTGATTGCCACAGCAACAGCCGAATGTCGCTCTTGAGACCAGCCTGGCTACAGTCCAGTCCAGTGTAGTCACAAGCCTCAGTAAGCTCCTATAGTGAAAGTCTATCTATCCTCATCCTTTTGTTTTATTACAATAAAACTCTTTCTCATGAGTAAATTATCTTTTTATCCATCCCCAGCTGATACACGGTGTAAACATTTACTGTGTGCAGTTTATTAAACCTTTCTTATTCTCTTTTCTGAACAGCTCTGTACTGGGAATAACCTTCTGACACAGGAAATGATGCAATTTACACTACAGACTGCCTTTGTCTTTGTCTCAAAACGTCTGCTTGCATCTGCTTCAGTTGTGCATTCAGAACTGACAGTGAACTGCAAACCATCTGATAAACTCTGTGTCTGTTAAGTACTGAGCACACAGTAAAAACAGCCTATTGGTGGCTTCAGTGTGGTGTACAATGTAGTCAGTTCTTCCCAGTGATTCCTGATCTCCTCTCCTATAGTAGTCATATACTGTACTGACACATTTTCTCCCTTCAGTGAACCCAGTAACCCTTCTGCATGTTTGCGTAGCATAGGCTTGTGTGTGTCTGTGTACTGTATATACGTATAGACACATAACCACATAATTCAGCAGTGATAGACAAGAGTTAAACTCATAAGAATGAAGTTATCTACATTAGAGACAGGAGTTAGCCATTATGAGAGTGTGTGTCACCAAACCACATCCATTACACTGACGTCAGAGTGTACAATATGAGGCAGAGCCGGTCCTCTCTCTCTCTCTCTCTCTCTCTCTCTCTCTCTCTCTCATTGACATAAACACACGT